AAATTCAAAAAATTGTTTAAAAAAGGGTTTATTGGTGACAAATCCATATTTAGAAGGAATATGATATCAAATTTGAGGATTAATCTTTTTTTTGTGATATGAACATTTCATAAAAAGATGTCAAAGCCAAAAAAATGTCGGCGGTGATCAACAATGACAATTGGTGGTGATAAAGTGGACAAATAGATAACACATATATAAATAAAGGGCAATGCTAGAGACCACTAAAGGTGGTGCTCTAAAGCAACCACTAACGATGTGGCATTTACCTCTTTTTTTTTTAAAAAAAAAAAAAAATAGACACAGCAACATTGTGACAGTGAGTGGGACCCACTACCACATCATTAGTGGTGGCACTAATTAGTGCTCCAACTCATTTTTTATAAATAAATGATATTTGAACAGGAAGTATTATTCTAGTATTAAAAAAATAAAGTTTGAACCTAGTGATTCAAAAATTTCAAAAATTGACTTTTGAGATGAGTATTTTTACAAAGTCAGATAGACCATTAATGATTTTGCAAAGTGTGTGGTCAAAATTCAATGCATGTGTTCATTTCTTATTCATTCACCTCTATGATCAATAGCTTTCGGTTTGCTCTATATGGCTTAAGAGTTTCAAACAGATTACATCATTTCATGATTAAGAGGGGGCTGTTTACTTTGACTATTGAAGAGGTTTAGTTATAATGGTGCCCATCTAGTTGGGATCATATTTCTTTATTATGATGCTTGTGTATTCATTTTTTTTTTTTTTATTGATGTATGGTGTTTGACAGTATTCATCAATAAAATTTATTTTTGCTGATAAAAAAAAAAAAGAGAAGAGATTTAGTAATATGGAATAAGCATTGTTAAGAATACTTATTGCACCTACTAGGTTTTGTTCCTTATTAATGATTGATGTAAAATTTTTCCTTGATTCTTATTCAATAAAGTTCTTTTGTCGATCAAAAAAAAAAAAAAAAAAGAATGCCGCTTTGTATATATTATATGATTTGTACCAAAACATCAACCAAATCAAAGGATGCGACTGTGTTGAATCATTAGTTTACGGGCTACTGTTAGATATCAAAAATTCAAATATAAAAAAATATTAAAAAGAAAATATGGTTCAAATTTAATTTTGTATAGTGGAATCCACACTTAACGATGTTTGATAATTGGTTAAAATAGTTTAAAAAAATTAAAAACTTATATAAAATGTCAACTTATTCTCTTTAATCTTTACACATCTTTTTGTAAAAAATTAAAAAAGTTACTAAAAAGTCTATTTGTAGCTTTTTGACTTAAATATAAAGTGAAAAAAATTGAAACTTTTGAGAATGATTTTTTTTTTTTTTTTTAAAATGAAAAAACGTACAAAAAAGTGAAAAGAATGGAAGGAATCTTCGATTTTTTTTTTAATATGACTTTTTCACATTTCTTATTTTTTTAATGATTTTTTAATATTTTGACTAAAATTCAACCTTTCCAAATGCATGCCTAAAATGAATTCAGGCTATCTTTGATTGGCTCCATAGGTGAGGGGGGTTAGACTAGCAATCCTATGGAGCTTACGTAACTCATATTTAGTTGACAAAAAATGCGGCACTATTTGGCATATCTTACAAAAGTATATTTTTTTTTATTTTTTTATCTTTTTTTTGGTCATATTACCTTTCTACTTTTTTACACATTTTTTCATAGAAAGTTAAAAATTATACTTATTTAGACCATTAATTCTCCTAGGGCTGAGCAAGGACATCGAAATGCAAATCGAACTGATCCAGACCAATCCGGTAAGTTTGGTTTGGTTTTCTTAATTTGTGATTCGGTCTTGGTTTAGAAAATTAGGAAACCGTCTCTACAGATTGGTTCTGAATTTAGGTCTATGGTTCCAAATTTGAACTGAACCGAACCGAATCGGGCCGTACAACTTAAACCATATATATTTATTTGGTAGATATTATTTTTGTTTAAGTTAATGGTAGAGCAATGTGCACCTTTATGTTTTGAAAGTATATGTTTCAAAAAATCATAACAGATTCATGTTGAACAATGTTTGCTTAATGTTATGCTTTTGCTTAACTAGGGAATATTATTAAAGTAGTTTGTTTGATGGGGCAAGTTATTATTATTTTTTAAATTTATGATCTTTTGAATTTTTTTGAAAATATTATATAATTTTTCGTATGAATAGATTATGTGAAACCGTAGTTCCAAACCAAACTAAACCGTATTTAAATAGTTTCGTTTAATTGGTTCCATGAGTTTAACGATTTGGTTTAGTTTCAATTTTTATGTAATTTCATCCAAAACCGATCCAAATTGGACCATGCTGACCCCTAAATCCCCCCACATGGTAGGATTAGCTATCCTATGGGAGTCCTGGGATTGCTAATCCAATTACATGGGATTGGATGTGAAAAGGCAATTTTGCCCCCATATTAGAAAAATAATAAGGTTACTTTCTATACAATGAGAACTTTTGCGTAACTGTATAAATTTAATCTCAACCAACTAATACCACACACTAGTATACAAAAAATACATTTTATCCTATATTACTACACTAATAATTTTTTCACTCAATTCTATCATACTTATAATCTCATCTAATCTAATTCGCCAAACAAATGAGACTTTAAGTCACACATCATTTTGTATGATTTTTTTTTTTCTTCTGAATTCTTAATTTCTGGACTTCAATAAAAGAACAATTTTGGTCTAAGGTCATTGTTGTTTTGATCAAGTTAGTGTCTAGTAGTTACCAAACGAAGTAGCTCTTTGTTTTTTGCTTTCTTTTTCTTTTTTCAATTCTTCTCTTTTGGTCTTTAGAACCGTTTGGGAAGAAGGTTTCCAGGTTTTTTTGGCTATTTTAGCTACAAAAAACAAAATACGCTATTTTAGCCGCAATAAACAAAATATCACATCTAATCCATAATCATTACACTCTTCTCTTACAAAAAAAGTCAAAAAAGTCAAAAACCCAAAAAATCCTTCCCAAACCAAACTTTTTAATTCAGGTTAAAATAGCCAAAAAAATTAAAAAATCAATCCACTTCTCAACGGAGGCAAATGCACTTAAAATAAGTGTTTTGATAACTGTGTGCGCTCAAATGTGGCCCCACAATCAAACTATACTTTAAATTTTTTATTTTTTTTATTCCTTGAGGGAATAGCTTGGGGAGTTAGACCATGCATATATGCATCTTTTATGTTGCGGTTAGTTGGGAGATTTGAAAATTAATTTTGAAATAGAAAGGAAAAATGTATGCGAAATTAAGTGAAATGTAAGTATATTTTATTTTCATTTCACCTACCTTTTCTCTTTTTCTTTTCAAACTGTTTTTTAAATTCTCCAACCAAATACAGCGTTAGAGTGTTAATTGAAATATGTTTAAATTGTGTTATTATGGATCACCACAAGAGTCTTCAATGGCTGCGAAAAATTAGTATAATGTTCATTATTACCTCTTTGTGGAGTTATCATCTAACACATTTTAATATTTTTTTTAATATATATTTCAATGCATCTTTCACAATTTATTAATATTAACATATCTTCCAAAGAGTTGTCATAACATTTTTCAATTATAATTAGTGCGGGTGTTACTAGGCACTAATTATTTTGTTGCCTAAGTTGCCACTCGTTGTAGGTTAATCCGAACCTCCTTAGGGTTTAATCATTTAGGCACTAATTATCGTCTGCTTTCACTTGATCAAGATTTTACTTTGATGCTTTTCACTCAAAGTAAAAAAAATTAAGGACAAAATCAATTTTAAGGGACAAAATATTTTTGTTTCAAAAAATGTCATTATTGTACTTTTAACAACAAATTCAGTGATGAATTACTATTATTTGGGACAAAAATTTTGTCTAAGAAATAAACCTTTATGAAATTAAATTATTTTTGCATTTATTAGCGACATTTCCAAAATTTTGGTTCTAAGACTATTTTTGGTTTATGGATTTGATAAAGAATTTGAAAAGGGAAAGGAAAAAAAAATGTGTGAAATATGTAGGTAAGTTGTAATTATATTTTATCTATCATTTTCCTTCCCTTTTCCAAATCTCTACCAATCCATGAAAGAAACACAATGTTAAAGTTATTTTTTTTCTTACTTTTTTTAGACGATCTTTTAGCGACTATTCTCGCAATAATAAAAATTGATCCCAAATATTTTTTGCAACAAAATAATCACTTATCGAGAAAAAAAAAAAAAAGGTTGTGTAATTTCATCTAAATTGTTCTGAGATTTCACCAACCCATAGCAGCTTAAATCATATTCAAATTTGTTGCGCAAAGGCACAACTATTTCTTTATTACACAATAGAGAGAGTACAGTACACACATACATGTTTTTGAAATATGATTTCTTGTAACAAACAGTAAAGAGTCGTGGCAAAACTATTTATTTATGAAGACACAAACAAAACAACTATTGAGATTGTAATCTCATTATTAAGGAGGGAGTTTGTAATTGTGTTTCAGCAGATTGCAGAGGTTCCATCAGAGTAGTAGATGGTGCAACCCTTCCCGGCTAAGCAACAGTTGCATGGCGCACTGAGCCTCTCTTCGCCTGTCGAGTCGCATGTCATGTAGTCTGCTGCTTTGCAAATTAGAGGGCACACTTTAGCACTTGCCAACTCCGGCTTTGCCCCCAACAAAAACACACCTGTTTTATCCAAAAAAATACCAAAAACTTTTTTGTTAGTAAATCCAATCCATGAACAAATAGGAAGGAAAATAAAATGATTTCATGTGGTTAATGAGTTTAGTTTGAGAAAATAGAGGCTAAGAGAAGAGAATATAAGCATAGGCATAGGCATAGGCATACCACACACAAGGAACACAAACAGAACACCAACCCTGTTAGCTGCCATGCTTTCCTATCTCTGTTTGAACTTTGGATGGGGTTGGGTGTTGGCTTGGAGTTATGTATCGCAAAACAAAGCATATAAAATGCAGTATATTTAAAAAAAATTATTAAATTTGACCATATTTGCAGTATTATGAGATTGTATACGGAATTGGTAAATACATAGGGCTGTTTGGTATGGATTATTGGGGGTGATTATAGTATTATGAGACTGTTTAGTGTAACTTCTGCTTATAGCTTTTCGGACAGAAATAACTGAAATAAGCGGAGAAAAACTAATTATTTAGTAGCTGGAAAAGTGATGCTTTTGATTTCTGCTTTTAATTATCAACTTTTAGCTTACAATAAGTTGCACCAAACAGCACCATAGATTAGTGGATGAGATTAGTATGAGGCCCTATCTGACTGAAATGATTAATACCGTAACAAATTAAAGTTTTTAGAGACATATTTAAGAACAAAATTATTTTTTAGGAACGAAATATTTTTGTTGCTAAATGTGTTTTTATTGTATTTTTAGTTAGACATTTAGTAATGAATTTTTATTCTTTTGAAACCAAATTTTTGTCTCAAAAAATAAACCTTTACTAACCAAATTATTTTATCCCTAAAAATACATTTATTACTAATGTCTAATTATTTTAATTTTTTGTATGAATATTTTACTTAACAAATCTTAAAAAATAAACGATTTAAATTACATATTAGTATTAAAATGGATTTACTAAATTCAAATGCTCTATCAAGTAATTTTGATCAATTTAAGAGAATCTAAACTCAGTTAATTATATTATATAGAAACGCATTGTTAGGAATGCTGCTATGTATTATATGATTATTTGAGAATCCAAACTCAAATGCTATGGGCTACTTTGGCAACTTTAGTAAAAAGTTACATGTGTAGCTTTGTTTGCTAAAAAAAATTAGGTTAACTTTTTTAGCAAGGAGTCATTTGATAAGCTCAAAAAAATCTCATATAAAATTACAATTATATCTTTTATTTTTATTTTTTTTTATATTTATATGGGTGAAAATATAAATTTTCTACATTGGGTAGAGTTAGTTTAGCCATTTTATTGTGATGTGACATCATAAAAAAATATTAATCAAAAAATTCAAAATTAACTTTTACTAACTTCCCAAATCACTTTTCTAAAAAAGTTTGATTAAAAGCCAAAAGTCAACTTTTAACCATCTTTCCAAAACATTCAATATTTTAGTTATTAAACTCAATATATATACATAAAATTTTTAAAATATACTTTTATTGAGTTTAATAACTAAAATACCTAATTTTTTTCATTAATTTTACTTCATGAAAATAAGCAAATGGTTTAGATTGAAAACAAATCAAAAATTTAAGATTTGAATTGACATAATTATAAATTCAGTATTTGTTTTGTTAAAATACTCAAACCTTGAGTTTTTTTTTTTTTAATTGTCCCAAAAAAATATCAAGAAAAAAAAACATATGTGATTCAAATTCAGTTATTATGTGGTGAATCCTACACTTAGGTTATGTTTGACAAGTGACTTTCATAGTGACATTTTCACTTTTTAAAAAATTGAAGTATTTTGATAAGGATTTTTAACTTTATTTTTTCCCAAAAAAAAAAGTACAAAAAGCAAAGACATTGAAAAGAATCTTTGACTTTTTTATATGACTTTTCAATTTTTGTAATTTTTTTTTTTGACTAAAATTTAATCTTCCCAAACACACTCCTAAAATAAATTTAGACCAAACATGATATTTTTGTAAGGTCATTTTTGTTTTGATGACGTTATTGTTTAATAAAGCTACAAGAAATTGTACTTTTGGCGACTAAATTTTTAGTCGCCAAAAGTCATATTTTTAGTCACCAAAAGGTTTTTCCAACTAAATAGTTTGGTCGCCAACTTGGTCGCAGAAATACGGTCGGCGAAGGTATTGGCGACAAAAAATTTTGGTTGCCGAAAGTCTTAAATTGGCAACTAAACAAGTAGTCGCCAAAAGTAAAGTTATTGGCGACAAAAAAAACTTTAGTCGTTGATAGGCTAAATTGACGACCAATCTTTTAGTCACCAAAAGCTTTCAAAAAAAATTAATATCGCCTTTTCAGCAACTAAAACATTTTTTTTTTTTATCAGCAAAAATAACACTTTATTGAATAAGAACAAGGAAAAAATCCTTACATCTTATATCAATAAAGATAAAGATAAACAAAAACAGTGCTAAAAGCATCATAGAAAACCTTACTCATCCCAACCAGGTTAGCACAAGAAAGCCACCCAATCATGTGCTAGCACTAGCCAAAAGCTAGTTGATGAGAAACCAACCAGCAAAAAACCAAAGCAGGGCAACACAGCATATAACAACACAGCAGCAGTAGCAGCTAAACAATACGGAGCAGCAGCAACCACTATAGATAGCAGCGGCAAACACACAACAATATAACAACATAGAGCAGCACCAAACAACGAGATGGAAAAGCCCAACTCAAAGAGACAGCAGCAGCAAAACACACAATAGTATAACAGCATAGAGCAGCAGCAAACCAAGAGATAGACAGCATCAACACAAAGAGGTAGACAACATCAACCACACCTCAAAGCCCCCTGATAGATTTCAAATTATAAAGCAAATCATTAACTGAAAAAGCAACCCCCTTAGTATGATACTTAACCAAAAAAGCAATGTGCAACTTAATGGACTCACAGACACCACACCAGTTAACATCTGAACCAGCAAACTTAATTTCATTCCTAGCCTTCCACACATACCACATGACCACAGATGGTACTGCATTCCACATACACTTAAGCATTTTCTTAAATTTATAACCACTCCAATCCAGAAGCTGAGTTATATTCTCAGGCACAACCCACACCAAACTTCACCACTTTACCACTTCAGACCATATACTCCAAGCAAACTGACAATGAAGGGCATGACTGACATCTTCAGCACAGGAATGACAAAAGCAGCACAAAGAGAAACCACTGGGGTCCAAAACACCAATACTCTACAGAAACACAGATGTTTTAAGTCTACTTCTCCATGCCAACCAACATATAAACTGCATTTTTGGAGGAGAGATACCCTTCCACAGCAACCTAGGCACCACTAAACCTAAGCTGTCGATGGAGGAAAGCCACTCATAAGTCGATTTTACTGAATATAGCCCTGAGGTACCAAAATTCCACACCAATTTATCCTCCACACCAGGTCTTAACTCTAGTACAAAATTAAGCACATGAATAAAGCGACTAAAACATTTAGTCGCCAAAACTAATTTATTTAGTAGCCAAAAAGATTTTTTTGTTCATCTTATTTTTTTTAGCTACTAAATGTTTTAATCGCCTAAGGTGTAATTTTTTTTTAGCAATTGAAATTGGGATAGTGGACAAAGACATAAAATAAGTCAGCAAGCTATTAATTTTGATTAGTGTTAGCACACCTCCTTTGGATAAATAATATTTCTTTCAAGTTCCAATCCATCAACCGTCTCTGAAATCTTTCAATGATAGAGTCTCACACATCCTCCCTTAAAGGAAGATCCCAAGTTTCATATCTAATTCAAAATTTCAGAAAGAAATTCTCTCATTTGCATGGTGTTTTCGTCATTTCAAGTACGAAAGGAAAGATACAATACTGCAAATATGAAACACGAAAGTATCCTTTATGAACCTTAGGCCTCTAGGCCGGGGGGAACTAGGCAAAATAAAAAGGCATCTAAACAAAAGTAGTATCACAGAATAAAAATCAAAAAAAAAAGAGTCCATTATCATTAAGATCACTCACTTCAATACAGTGTTATAGCCAAGCAATTCTAAATCAGCTCCATAAAACCTTCTCCACCATTTGCATTTACCAAGGATCATATCTTTGACCCATCTGTATCTAAGAGTCAACCAACTTCATCCATGTTTCATTGCAAATAGCTTCACACTTTGTTAAATGGCAATATTCAGTCTAATTTAATTGGTTATGTTATCAATTTCAAGCTTTATTTGCACATTACCGTTTGCAAGATTTTTTTGCAATAATTTTTTTAAATGTAATTGTAACTTTCCTTCAGTCCCAGCAACAAACGAATTCAATAAATTAGTCATCAGGAAAAGAGAGAAAATATAAAAATTAGTCATCTACTTTCCAGTCATTATTCGCTAGTTTGCAAGGATATTGACAAAATCATCTGTAAGATAAATGGTGAAAGAAAGGAGGAAAAAAGCTGGTTCACCTGCATCAGTGAAACTCTATTCCCTATAACAGCAGTTTCGCCAACAACTACACCCGTCCCATGATCTAACGGTATTCCCTCTCCAATTTTTGCAGCTGTACACAATTACCAGATATGAAGAAAAGATGGGGTAAATTTCCCCTCACAATGTCTTATTAGAAAGAAAACAGTCGAATGAAGAGGGCAAAAAAAAAGGAAAAGTGAATTAGTCTTAATTTGTGGTAGAAACAATCATTTTCTTTGCACTTGAATCTATAATCTATCAAAGTTTTACCAAAATAACCCCTAACTTCTCTTCAATTGGTTCCATGAAAAAAATTATGGGAAATAAAAACGTAAGAATTCTGTCCCAATAATTTAAAAGATAATTTCTTGTTGTTTTTAAAGTGTGCCTGACATCTAAGAAGAAGTCAGTCTACTAGTAAACTGACTAATGAGATAACTAACAGCACACAATTGGCAATAAATAGAATCAAGAAAAACCATACTTGGGTGTATGTCAACTCCAAAAACCAGAAAAATTCAGAAAAATCCACTACTTGGGGTTTCAATTTCAAAATCATTAAAACATCCAAAATGGTTATTCAAACACAAATTCAGATTCATAGCAACAACTTCAATAACAAGCAATCAAACCCACAAAACAGAACAACTAATAAATAGATCGATTAAAATATAATCGACTTACTCTTGAGTTCATCGAGCCACTGCTTGATGCTATCGAAAGTAGTCCGGCGAGTGATATAGTAGACGACGAGAGCACCAACAACGCCTTTGTAGTAGGCGGAGGTGACGGCGCGGAAGCGCTCTTGGCCGACGGTGTCCCAGACCTAGGCTTTGATCTCCTTGCCATCAAGCTCCATCACCTAGGTCTAAAATCTACTCCCACTGTGGCTTTTGAGTGCAAATCGAACTCGTCTCTCGCAAATCGCAAGAGCAAGTTCAATTTTCCCACCGCTGAGTCCCCAATCACCACTATCTTGAACAAGCACTCTTCTCCTTCTGATTTCTCCATTTTGTTTGGTGTGTTTGGGTTAGAGACAGATAGACAGACAGACAGACAGACAATCTGTTTTGTCTAAACAAAGAACCATCTGTTTTGTCTAAAATTTTCACACCTTTGGCGACCAAATTGGTTTTTTTGTCGCCAAATGTTAATTAATTTCATTAATCCCTCCAAAATTTGAAATATTTCCCTCTAAATATTTTTAGTTCTTTCGCGACCAAAATAATTTTAGTCGCTGAAAATAAATTTTTGGCGACCAAATTTTTAGTTGCCAAAGATAAAAAGTAATTTTTTATTTTTCATTCAGCAACCAAATAATTTTAGTAGCCAAAGCTAACTATTTGGCGACAAAAAAAAAATTTAGTCGTTGAAAATATATTTTTGGCGACCAAATTTTTCGTCGCCAAAGATAAAAAAATAATATTTTATTTCACATTCGGCGACTAAATGTTTTTAGTAACAAAAACTCAATCTATGGCGACTAAAATAATTTTTTTGTCGCCAATTCTGGTATTTTTAGCAACTAAATTTTTTTTTAGTCGCCAATAGTCAATATATCCCGACTAAAAAAAATAAGTAGCTAAATATTGTACTTTTGCCGACTAAAAAAAATTTTGATCTCCAATTCCACAACTTTTGGCGACTAAATTTCTTTTAGTCACCAATTTTGGTCGCCAAAAGTGTATTTGGTTATAGTGTAGGGAGTGTTTAATAATATGATTCAATATTTAAAATTAAATTGATTAAATGATAATTAATTAAGTTCGTTTGATAACCATAATTGATATCATTTAAAAATTTAAGTGTCTTTTAAAATGTAGGTTAAAATTTAAGAAAATTTTAAGTCATATAAAACTTGTTTAACTCTAACTAAATTTATAAATACTAAACATAAGTATCAATATACAATATTAATATAAACTTACCACCATCATGCCACCCCACTATTACTACCACTATTACCATCACTACTGCTACCACTATGCCACCACCACTACTACAACCATCACCACTATCATGTCACCGCCACTACCACCACCATTACTACTACTATCACCACCACCACCATGCCACCATTGTCGCCCCTACTACAATCACTTTCATCATCATTGTCATTATTACCATAAATACCACCATCATTTACTACTACCGTTGTCGCCACTACTATCAAGAATTGGGGTCACTACTAGCAGTGACTGTTGTGCCTCAATTTGAGGTGCATTATAGGCTTATTTTTATGATTTGAACTGTCATTTCGTAGGGTATGTTGAGTACTTCATAACTACCAAAAATCATATTAATCGGATATCAATAACTATATGATCGATAACCAAAAAAATAAACAATAAGTTTTGCTTTTGAGAAATAGCATAAAAAATATGCAATTCGATCATATAGTTATTGATATCCAATTACTATGATTTTTGGTAAACATGAAATACTCAACAAACTCTACAAAATGAACGGTTCAGATCATAAAAATAAGTCCATAATGCACCTCAAATTGACTTTAGAACAGCAGTGACCCCATTTCCCTACTACCATCACCTTCATCACCATTGTTATTATTACCATAAATACCACCATCATTTACTACCACCACCATCGCTACCACCACCATCACTACCATTACCATTGCTACCACCACCACCACTACCACCATCACTATGCCACTGGCACCACTACCACCACCACCATCACAATATAAAAATTAAAATATATAATTTAAAAATAATAAATTTTAAATTTGATACATATCAAACAATTTATTTTTAATTCAGCATTTAAATTTTTATCAAACAGATTTTCAACTTAAAAAAGTGAGAATTCAGTATTCAATTTTCATTCTTCAATTTTCAGTTTTCAGCTTTATCAAACAGCACTTAGCTCTTTATCTTTTTTCTCTCTCTTTTTTTTTTCTTTTTTTTAAAAACTTTTTTCTTTTGGTTTATAGTTTAGAATAATCTTGTATTTAAATGCACTTAAAATAAGTGTTTTGAGAACTTATGGATTTTATTCAAAAGCACATAATTAAAATAATTCTTTTTTTTTTTAAATCCCTTGGGGAAATTCATAAGTCTTTTAGAGTGTTAATTGGAATTTGTTAAACTGTGTTGTTATGGACCAACACTAGAGTCTTCAATGGTTGCAATAAATTTGGAAGTTGTATAATGTTGATTATTGCTCTTTTGTAGAGTTGTTATTCCAACCCATTTTCAGATATTTTTACATATTTTAATACGTCTTTTATAAATTTACTATTAATGAATCCTCCAAAGAGTTGTCATAGGGAGTTTCTATTTTCACACCCCATAAACTCTTTGTACGAACAAGGCAGCTAGTCCAGTGGTCCACGTAACTGTCTCTTGGGATAGTGAAAATGTCATAGGTTCAGGGTTCAAGTCGATGGAGCGACTGTGACCCTTCGTTGTAATCTAACTAACCCCTAACATCCTATCATATGCAAAAAAAAATAAAATAAAATAAACTCTTTATGTACATACTCAATACATACTTAATGATTTTTGTTGGAAAATAATGGGTTTTCGGCAACTTTAATTTGAAATTAAAGTGGGACCCAACTGCCAGTTGAAATAGGTCTGAGTGGTTTTGTATTCTCTTCAGTGAGAATATTGCAATACAAAAATAATGAGCCGAAATCATTGAGTTGTGAATGAGAATTGTCTCATAAAGTGGGCATCAATAAAATTTGGTTTAGATTTGGACTTAGTCTTGGTTTAGACTAGGCCTAGACTTGTACTTGTGCATGTGCTGGTTTTGGTCTTAGACTTGGACTTGAACCTAGTCTTGAGCTTTAGGCTGAGCTGTGCTGGACTTAGTTTGTGCATGTGTTTGATTTGAGATTGGGCTTGGATGAGGTTGTGACCCAACATCCGTATCCATTTTGCAACCCATCTAATTTAATTCTCAAAACTTATACATTACATACACATTATGATTTACATAATGGTTTTGGAGTTTTGAACCTTTGTAACTCTAGCCCTAATGGCTAGAGTTGATAACATTTGATAACCCCATTAATGTTAGCCTTCATAGCTAAGGCTCACCCCTACTAGTATAAATAAAGGTCTTCTCCTCCAACTTAGTAGGTTGTTTTTAAGAGAGGTTTTGTGATGGAAAATGAGATGGTGTTTTGAAATAAAAAGTTGGAGATGATTTTTTACACCAAAGAAAATTTTTCCTATCTTCTTTTGTTGGCCTCTTCTTTGGTTTTTGTTAGAAAGAGTACAGCCATTGTTACGTTCGCTGAAGCTATTCAGAAGGTGTTTCTGCATTAGCTAATTTCGACCATCGTATCTTGGAAGACAGATGTCGGCGTACCTCCAGCATCCATTGAAAGGCAGTGAATCTATTTTAAGGAAACTATGGTATCACACAGGTTTCAGTTTGTTTATTTTCTTATTATTTGTTCTTTAATTTTTCAGACTTTAGTTTATCTCGACGAGTTCTAATCTTTAGTTATCCATGTTAATAATTTGTTCTTTTAGTAATGTAATCTAATTTATTTTTGTATTTAGTTGTCATTTATTCTGTATTTCATCCTTTAATAAATAAATAAATAAAATTGTTTAGTCATTTCTATTTAATTTATTTTATATATTTTTCTTGCATTACTATGGAAAAATACCAACAATCTTAAAACAAATTCTTTATCAATAGTTTTGAAAAAATAATTTAGCTTTTAAAAAATAATTTAGCTTTTATTTTAATTTATTCTAGTACTCTTGGAATTAAAATTAATTTAATTGTCTAGAGTTATTGGATTGTTTTGAGTTGTTTATTTCTAATAATTTATTCATGCAATTTATTTTATGTTAATTAGTTGTTATTACATGAGTTATTTGCTTGTTAGTATTTAAGTTGGTAGGAATTTATAAAAATAAAAATTTTATTATGTAAGATTCTTACTATTTTATTTAATTTGTTTGATTGTTTTCTTTTGCGGCTAACTTTCTTTACAGGTTTACCTAAGCGAGAAAGGATGATATATAATGCGAACAAATAAAATAAATTGGAATTAGTAAATTGCACTAGTAATTGTTTATTTGAACAGGATTACCTTTGTGTTGAATAAAGAATAATATTAGACCTTTAGAATTTTAGTGAATTTAATTATTTACTTTGGAGTTCAGTTTAATTTCGGATTTATTATGTATGTTGTTTTGAAAGATTGGTAACAATTTCAATTTAATTTGATTAATTAAATTTTGAAAAAAAAATAAAAAGAAAGAGCTGAATTTTGAGAATGTCAAGAGATTCGGCTAGTCGAAAGGTTTTCGACGGTATAGAATATCTCTAAACAGGTTTGTATTGGGGGAAAATTTAGTAAAATAGTTTCAGTTTTTCTATATAATGGTCTTATTTCTAAGCAAGCTTATAATTGTGTTGCATTATTCCATGGTGGTATAGCTTGGTATTGTAGTGACATTAACTCTTATTTATTCTATTTATTTTTAGTTGTATCAATTGCGAGTTCTTTCATGTCTTAATGTGTTATCAAGGAAATTACTCTAAAATATTTTTTATATTCATAATATGGTAAGTGAAAGTTTAACTCTATTGTTATATATATTTGCTCATAATTGCATGGTTGGATTGCTAACATTATGACCATAGTATTCCCTTATGTATAATTGATTTATAGCATGCAACTCATGAAATTCTTGTAACTGCAATGCATCTATACCCTTTGAATTACACATTGTAAGTTATAGCTGAAATTACTTGTGTAATATTCGCTTTATTGGTTCATTAACTCATCTTGTATCCTAGTATGTATATGAACAGTGAGCATGGAGATTTAGCGGCAACAAGGATAGAGTTTTTTAATGTGTTTCATACAAAGATAAGTACTACAAGTGGAGAAGCGTGTTCTTGGCTAAACAAACGATTCTGTATACAACCATAAACTCCAATTTTGCAAATTTAGATAATTTGTAATTGTAACAGTTGCATTTTAATTTTGTAGTAGGTTTAATTTGTAATTTGTAATTTGTAATAGTTTCACCATAGTAAAAGGAAAGTG